GTGGGGGGTAGCAGCTCCTTTCCCCCCCCTGCTCCCCTCCCCCCACCCAGGTGGCCCAGTGTTAGAGTGCTTGCCTTGAATGCATGAGGTCCTCAGCACCACATAAGCAGAAAAAGCTGGAAGTGGTGCTGTGGCTCAAGTAGTAGAATGCTTGCCTTGAGCTGAAAAGCTCAAGGCACCCAGGCCCAGAGTTCAGGCCCCACAACCAAAAAAAAAAAGTCTCATGGACTTTTCTGCCCGGGCTGGCTTTGAACCACAATCCTCAGATCTCAACCTTCTAACTAGCTAGGATTACAGGCTTCAGTCTCCTTATTTGTCAGACAAGGAAGTTATAGATCCTAAATCCTAATGTTAGTTAGGATTAAATAAAAAAATTCCCATAAAATATTTATGGCACTGGAACATAATGAATGTTCAATGCATTCTGTTCTCTGTGTATGTTTGTTTAGTAAATAGTCATTTCCAAGGCTTTAAACATTATCCTCATTACCACTCTTGGACTCCAGATTCTCCTGTAAGTTAATGTCTCCCTAACAACCTTTGGACTTCTTAGACTCTACCACTACACTCTCCCAAAAGAAAGCTTTGCTTTCCCTCTCTAATATGTAATCACTCCCTCCTGCTTACTACTACCCCAATCCAACTTCAATAAACAGTGCCCCTACCATGCATTTGTTCATCAAGAACCCTAGAAAATTAGTCTAGGGCCATAGTTCAAAAGTCTACCTATCTAGCAAGTGCAAGATACTGAATTGAAACTACATTATTATAAATAATAATTATAATAAATAAAAAAAACAAATTTAAATAAAGCATGCTGTGTTCTCTCATTCCCTCATACATCTCTTCTAACGCATTGTTTCAATACCTCTCTCATCCAAAATATCTCCCTAAGTCAACAACTGAGGTTTAAACCACAATTACACTTCCTAGCCATGACAAATGTCACATGCCCATGACATTCCTCAACGCAATCTCCAGCCTATGCTTCCCCCACAACTCAAGATTCACAACCCAACTCCTCACCAATAGCTGTAAGGTGCAGCTTCATGGAAAGACCAACTCTCCAACCTAGAGAGTCTATCCTGTCTATTCCCACCCACCCCCCTTACTCTGGCTACAGTAGTCTCATCTTGGCTCCTGAGGAGATCCAGCCTTTCCTACCTCAGGGCTTCTACATCTGCTGCCCTCTTAGCCTGAAAGAATCTGTACCTCCAATTTTCTCATTGCTACTTTCTTTTCATCTGCCAGAGCTTAGCTGAAATTAGTTACAGAAGTCAAAAGGGAAGAGGAACCAGAAAGGAAGAGACATCAAAAGGTGAGCAGCTTGGGGTTGGGGATTTAGCTCAGAGGAAGAGCACCTGTCTGGTAAGTGCAAGGCCCAGAATTCAGTCCTTAGCTCTGGAAAACAAAAACAAGAGGTAAAGAGCTGAGCATTAGGAATGTGGGACCACTGGGAAGCCAATGGGGTACATCAGGAAGAGGCTGTAATAAAGTGACAGGGGTTAGAGAAAGTGTAACAGATTGGAAAAGGACTAGATGGCTGAAAAACAAGACAAAATAGGAGTTACAGTGAAAGGCGCGAACTAGGTAGAAGTAACAAACTGGCAGGAACTCCTGGTGACAGCAAGGGATCACTACCAAACTAGAAACAGTCTGTAACAATTTGAATGATAGATTGCAAGGATACAAAGTAGCAGGAGGGGAGGTACTATAAATAGAGCTTAGTAAGGTGTATGAGAAGGGTGACAGGTGTGAAGGAAGAGATGATGAAGATGCATGAAGGAATGAATGGGGCACTTAGGAATAATTACAGAATGGAGTAACAGGTGATACCTGGGACCTTGATGAAGGGCATGAAAGGAAAGGAGTGATGGAAACCAGAGGACAGAAAGAAAAGATTGGTGGTTTGACAAAAGGAATGCTGACAGTAGGAACTAGGAGAGAAGTGCCTCATACCAACAGGCAGGAAGAGCCGTGGGAGAGCCCTTATAGGTGAAGGGTCACTAATAATAGAGCAGAGCACTAATGAAAATGGTCTTTGACAGGTGAAGAGTAAGAGGGAACACTAAGATGATTGCTGGACAAGGACTGACATTAGGGCACATGCCCACAGGGAAGAGGAGAAAGACCTTGACAGGAAGACAGGACACTCTGCAGGAGTCACAGACAAAAACACCACTATAGGAGAGATGGACAACAGGTGACAACAGGGACATTAACGGGATTACTGACAGGGTAATAGGGTATCAGTAACTGGTGAGGGAACTACTGACAACTGGGATCAATGATGAGGAATGAGACCGACAAGGAAGGTACTGGTGGAGATGGGGCCATGGAAGGGACATGGGTGTTATCATTGGGGATCTTGCCAGACAGTGCAGTCAGTAGGAGTCACAGATGGAATGGGAAATGACTAAAGGGAGGACAGTGCCTCAGGGACTAAGGAGAATGAGTGAGTAGATGAATGATGGGGGTAGGCTGGGTGGCTGGATGATTAAGGAGGGTGTTGGCTGATAGAAGTTATAACAGATGGATCACTGACTACTAACAGGGTCACTGATAGAAAGGCACTGACTGACAGACTGATGGGGCACTGACCACAGGTGGGGAAAGGAGGGCCCTGACAGTGCACAGAGAGATGGACACTAACAGGAGGGTATTGACAGGCACTGACAGATGAAAGGGCACTGATGGGCACTGATTGACAGGAGAGCACTGACTGATGGGAGGGCGCAGACAGAAAGGCAGGTGCTGACGGGAGGGCGCTGAATGCTGGGAGGGCGCTGGCCGGTGGCGAGCGCTGACCGGAGGGCAGTGGCTGATAGGAGGGCGCTGGCCCGTGGCGGGCGCTGATCCAAGGGCACTGACAGATGGAAGGGCACTGACTGACTGACAGGAGGATGCTGACTGACGGGAGGGAGGGAGAGAGGGCACTGACTGACAGGACGGAGGGCGCTGATTGAAGAGAGTGCAGTGACAGGAGGGAGGGAGGGCACTGACTGACAGAAGGGCACTGACTGACAGGAGGGAGGGCGCTGACTGACAGGAGGGAGGGCGCTGACTGACAGAAGGGCACTGACTGACAGGAGGGAGGGCACTGACAGGAGGGAGGGCGCTGACTGACAGGAGGACGCTGACAGGAGGGAGGGCGCTGACAGGAGGGAGGGCGCTGACTGACAGGAGGAAGGGCGCTGACTGACAGGAGGGCGCTGACTGACAGGAGGGCGCTGACAGGAGGGAGGGCGCTGACTGACAGGAGGGAGGTCGCTGACTGACAGAAGGGCACTGACTGACAGGAGGGAGGGCGCTGACTGACAGGAGGGCGCTGACTGACAGGAGGGCGCTGACAGGAGGGAGGGCGCTGACTGACAGGAGGGCGCTGACAGGAGGGAGGGCACTGACTGACAGGAGGGCGCTGACAGGAGGGAGGGCGCTGACAGGAGGGAGGGCGCTGACTGACAGGAGGGCGCTGACTGACAGGAGGGAGGGCGCTGACTGACAGGAGGGCGCTGACTGACAGGAGGGAGGGCGCTGACTGACAGGAGGGAGGGCGCTGACTGACAGGAGGGAGGGCGCTGACAGGAGGGAGGGCGCTGACTGACAGGAGGGCGCTGACAGGAGGAAGGGCGCTGACAGGAGGGAGGGCGCTGACTGACAGGAGGGCGCTGACAGGAGGGAGGGCGCTGACTGACAGGAGGGCGCTGACAGGAGGGAGGGCGCTGACAGGAGGGAGGGCGCTGACTGACAGGAGGGCGCTGACAGGAGGGAGGGCGCTGACAGGAGGGAGGGCGCTGACTGACAGGAGGGCGCTGACTGACAGGAGGGAGGGCGCTGACCGACAGGAGGGCACTGACTGACAGGAGGGAGGGCGCTGACTGACGGGAGGGCACTGACTGACGGGAGGGAGGGCGCTGACTGACAGGAAGGAGGGCGCTGACTGACGGGAGGGAGGGCGCTGACTGACGGGAGGGAGGGCGCTGACAGGAGGGCGCTGACTGACAGGAGGGCGCTGACTGACAGGAGGGAGGGCGCTGACTGACGGGAGGGAGGGCGCTGACTGACAGGAGGGAGGGCGCTGACTGACAGGAGGGAGGGCGCTGACTGACGGGAGGGAGGGCGCTGGCTGACAGGAGGGCGCTGACAGGAGGGAGGGCGCTGACTGACAGGAGGGCGCTGACTGACAGGAGGGAGGGCGCTGACTGACAGGAGGGCGCTGACTGACAGGAGGGAGGGCGCTGACTGACAGGAGGGAGGGCGCTGACAGGAGGGAGGGCGCTGACTGACAGGAGGGCGCTGACAGGAGGAAGGGCGCTGACAGGAGGGAGGGCGCTGACTGACAGGAGGGCGCTGACAGGAGGGAGGGCGCTGACTGACAGGAGGGAGGGCGCTGACTGACGGGAGGGAGGGCGCTGGCTGACAGGAGGGCGCTGACAGGAGGGAGGGCGCTGACAGGAGGGAGGGCGCTGACTGACAGGAGGGCGCTGACAGGAGGGAGGGCGCTGACAGGAGGGAGGGCGCTGACCGACAGGAGGGCACTGACTGACAGGAGGGAGGGCGCTGACTGACGGGAGGGCACTGACTGACGGGAGGGAGGGCGCTGACTGACAGGAAGGAGGGCGCTGACTGACGGGAGGGCGCTGACTGACGGGAGGGAGGGCGCTGACTGACAGGAGGGAGGGCGCTGGCTGACAGGAGGGCGCTGACTGACAGGAGGGAGGGCCCTGACTGACAGGAGGGAGGGCGCTGACTGACAGGAGGGAGGGCGCTGACTGACAGGAGGGAGGGCCCTGACTGACAGGAGGGAGGGCGCTGACTGACAGGAGGGAGGGCGCTGACTGACAGGAGGGAGGGCGCTGGCTGACAGGAGGGCGCTGACTGACAGGAGGGAGGGCGCTGACTGACGGGAGGGCGCTGGCCGGTGGCGGGCGCTGACCCGAGGGCAGGGGCTGACGCCTCGCGTCCGGCCGGAGGAAGCAGGCAGTGGCGGCCGCACTCACCTGGCCCGCGGGCCGGAGGTCGCGGCGGCTGGTTGGAGGCCCGGGCGCTGGCGGAGGCGAAGCCCGAGCAGCCTGGGGCGGGCCGCAGGCACATGGGCCCGGCCTCGGGCGCGGTGCCTCGGGACACGGGCGCGGCCGGCCGGCGGCACCGACCGGCTCGGGGCCGCGGGCGGCGCTCAGATCGCTCCAAAATGGCGGCGGCGGCGCGGGCGCGCGCGCGCTCCGGGGGCGGGGCCTCGGCTGGGTCTGCGTGCGCGCGCCCGCGAGCTGGCCGTGGACGCCGCGGGCCGCGCCCTCGCCCCGCCCTCCGCCGGGCTCGCAGTCACTCCCAGCTTTCCCGTGCCCGGGCGTCCTTCCCCGGCGGTCTTTGCCCATCCAATACGGGCCGTTAGGAGCCATGGGCATTGACTCCGCGGTGGAGCGCGGCTCGGGTGGGGAAGCGACGGCCAGGGAGCGGAAGCTTCACCCACCGAGGCCGAGCCCCGGCCTCGGGCTAAGAAGGAAAAACCCACGTTAGTCTCTAGAAGGAGATTGTGCTGGCCGCGTGGAGCCGTGGAGGGTGCTGGGGCGGGACGCGGAGCGCGGGGATGCGGCGCCCCGGCCTGCGGGCCTCCGGAGCGCGGGGATGCGGCGCCCCGGCCTGCGGGCCTCCGGAGCGCGGGGATGCGGCGCCCCGGCCTGCGGGCCTCCGGAGCGCGGGGATGCGGCGCCCCGGCCTGCGGGCCTCCGGAGCGCGGGGATGCGGCGCCCCGGCCTCCGGAGCGCGGGGATGCGGCGCCCCGGCCTGCGGGCCTCCGGAGCGCGGGGATGCGGCGCCCCGGCCTGCGGGCCTCCGGAGCGCGGGGATGCCGCCTGGCCGTGCACCCCGGCCGCAATCCCAGCAGCGCGGAAACACGCGGGCTCTAAGTTCGAAGCCAGCCTGTGCTACACCGTGAACAGAGGGAGGGGGGACGGGAGGGGCGGGGAAGGTGGCATGAAGCTCTAGGTTCGATTCCTTGGCACCACATGAACAGAAAAAGCCAGAAGTGGTGCTGTGGCTCAAGTGGTAGAGCGCTCGCCTTGAGCTGAAGAGCTGAGGGACAGCGTCCAGGCCCAGAGTTCAAGCCCCACGACCAAAAAAAGAGCTCACAGACTTTTCCTGCCTGGGTTGGTTTGAACCACAGTCCTTGGATCACACAGCCTCCTGAGTCACTAGGATTATTGGAGCACCTAGCTTCAAATACTTTTGAGGTGACACTGCTGAGATTAGTCAGCACAGGGTGTGGGAGAGGTGCTGGGAAAAAAGGTTTTTGCCTCCAGGTCTCCTGTGTAGTTGGCACCCCAGAACGGTGCCCTCCGGGGTCAGGGCACTTAGAGCAAGCCTAGCTGCTTTTATGGCAGTGCTTCCTTGGTGAGACCCCTAAGCAGAGTTTCCAAGTTTCGTGGAGGTGGCCAAGCACCAGCTCCAACTGAGCAGGGTGGGCAAGCTCTGTCTTGCTGCATTCTGCCTCAGCTCATCTTCCAGAGCTGCTAGCGCTGGAAATGGAGACTCTGTAGCTTCTTTGATGTAGGAGATGCATCCTTCTGCAGCCTTCAAGTGCAGCCTGACCTTGACACTGTTATCTGTGCTCAGGCTTCTGTCCCTGGATTAGCTTCAGCCTTTCTTCTCCTTTCACCAACCCCCTCTTCAATATGTAACCCATTCTCTACTACCAGGGTGCTCCCACAAAACCATTTTCTTTCTTCTGGTTCACAGCATCCTGCCAGTGGGCTCATTCTATCCCCTGGAGTATCTGCTTCTCACCACCCAAATAAATCCAGTTCAAATAGGTCAGATCAAGCTGGGCACTGGTGGCTCATGCCTGTAATACTAGCTACTCAGAAGGCTGAGATCTGAGGATTGTGGTTCAAAGCCAGCCCAGGCAGAAAAGTCTGCACTCATCTCCAATAAAGTACCAGAAAACTGGAAGTGGCGCTGTGGCTCAAGTGGTAGAGCGTTAGCCTCGAGCTGAAGAGCTGAGGGACAGCGCCCAGGCCCAGATTTCAAGCCCCACTACCAAAAAAAAAAGTCAGATCACATTCTCCCTCTAGGGACTCTTGTACTAAATGAAAGGAAAGCATTTGCTGTAGCCTGCCGGCTGTATGTGATCTTGTCATCTCCCTTACTCATTCCTTTTGGTCTACTCAAGATAACCTCTGACCCCAGGAGGTGGCTCACAGTCCCTGCACACTTCCATTCCTCCATCTTATTGCTCCCTTTTCAGTGGCTTGCCTATTTCAAACCTCCAGCCTACCCACACACACTTCACACCCCCTGTCTGCACTGATCTTTCTTCATAGTGTTATCAGTAGACAATCCAATAAGGGAACAGAAACCACCTAATTTTCAATTTGAAGCATAGTTCTGATATGTATAGAATTTGTTCCTTGGCTGGGTGTTTTGTTTTTGTTTTGTTTCCTTCACTCTGAGTATTTTATTGCCTTTGAGGCCTCATTTGGTTTCCATGAGGTCAGCTGCTAATTGCATTGGTAGCTTTTATGCAGACAGTCATCTTTTTCTTGTTACTTTCATGATTTTGTCCGTCTCTGACCATGGCAATTACTTATGGGTATACAGGCATAACTCTTCCTGTTTTCATCTTTTGTGGAATTTCTATGCCTAGCCCTATGTCTTGGATTGTTATCAGACCCTCACCCCATCCTGAGCTTGCATCAGGACGCAGGTGCTATCCCTGAGCTATCTGCTTCAAGGCTGGTGTTCTACCACTAAGTCATAGCTCCACTTCTAGCTTTTTTTTTTTCCTCTAAATATTTCTATGTTGAGATTAAGTGACTACATAAATTTCACAATACTGTGGCATAGTTATACTTAGCTAAAGTCACAAACACATTTTAACCCTCACAATGATAATCATCGTTATCTTAATCTACAAAGTTTATGACCTCTACGAAGTTTAACAAGAAAACTATTTCTTCCAAATTGGCTGATATGTACATTTCTCATTTCTTTCCTTTTGCTTAGTATCAGCTGTTCCCTCTTTCTCATTCTACACTTCTGGCTTTTTCTAACTAGTTTATTACAGACTTTATCCAGACTTTCCTGACCAGTCTAGCTTTGAACTATGATCCTTAGATCTCAGGTTTATTGTTTTTTGTTTTTAAAACCATTCCTGGGGCTTGAACTCAGGGCCTGGGTACTGTCCCTGAGCTTCTTTTGCTCAAGGCTAGCACTCTACCACTTGAACCAGCGCCACTTCCAGTTTTCTGGTGGTTTATTGAAGAGTCTCACAAACTTTCCTGCCTGGGCTGGCTTTGAACCCCGATCCTCAGATCTCAGCCTCCTGAGTAGCTAGGATTACAGGCATGAGCTACTGATGCCTGGCTATATACAAATTTTTAGAAATTAACTTCACTATTTAGTCTCAGCATAGAGAATTCTCAGTGGGACAGCAATAGCACTTGAAGAGTAATCAAAATAGCCAATCAGAAGTATAATAACTACTGGGAGTGTTCATAGCCACATTTTGGAGAAAGTGAGATTTCTTTGCTTGCAATAAAGATAGATATTTTTTTTCTGTGGTGGTGGTGGTATGTGTGTGTGTGTGTTGTGAGTCCTGGGTCTTGAACTGAGGACCTGGGCACTGTCCCTAAGCTTTTTGTGCTTAAGGCTAGTGCTCCATCATTTTGCGCCACACCTCCGCTTCAGCTTTTTGGTGATTAATTGGACATAAGAGTCTCATGGGGGGCTGGGAAGGTGGCTCAGTGGTAGAGCACTTGCCTTGCATGCCTGAGGCCCTGGGTTCGATTCCTCAGCACCACATAAGCAAAAAGAAAAAAGCCGGAAGTGGCGCTGTGGCTCAGGTGGTAGAGCGTTAGCCTTGAGCTGAAGAGCTGAGGGACAGCGCCCAGGCCCAGAGTTCAGGCCCCATAACCGGACCCCCCCCAAAAAAAAAAAAAAAGTCTCATGGACTTTTCTGCCTAGGCTGGCATTGAAACAGAGATCATCTCAGAGCAGCTAGGATTACTGGCGTGAGACCAGTGCCCAGCTAAGATAGAGTTATCTTGTTATATAAAAATGTAATGTTGAGAAAAAAAGTAGAGTTGTTTGATTGTTGTATGGCAGTAGAAATGTGTATACAAAGCTGACCGTCACATTTACCCAGTGTTAAACTTCACATTTCCTTCTTTTTTTTTTTTTTTGTCAGTTCTGGGGCTTGAACTCAAGGCCTGAACACTATTCCTGAGCTTCTTTTGCTAAAGGCTAGCACTCAATCACTTGAGCCATAGTACTACTTCTGGCTTTTTCTGTGTATGTGGTACTGAGGAATTGAACCCGGGCTTCATGCATGCTAGGTAAGCACTCTACCACAAAGCCACCTTCCCAGCCCTAAGCTTCACATTTCTGCATCACATTCACACCCAAACCACTCCTGGTTATGTGAAGGAAGAGCAATTACTGTACAAGAGTCACCAGCATGGCCAAGTTCATGCAGTACTATTCACAACAGCCACGATATAAAATCAGCCTAACTTGGGACTGGGAGTGTGGCTTAATGGTAGAGTGCTTACCTCGCATGATTGAAGCCCTGGGTTTAATTCCTCAGTACCACATAAACAGAAAAAAACAAAAGTAGTGCTGTAAGTGGCAGAGAGCTAGCCTTGAGCAAAAGAAGCTCAGGGACAGCACCCATGCAGAGTTCAAGCCCTCAGCCTAGAAAAAACAAACAACGAAAACAAACCTACATTAACCCACAATGACACATCACTAACCCCAAATGCTGAGTGGCTATAACTGAAGTTTGGCAAGTACTAGAGAGTATGTGATCTGAAAGCTTCATACATGGGATTCAAGATGGTACAGCCACTCTTAGGGTAGACTAGGCAAAGCCCTCTACTACTGAACTACACCCCAACCCTGACAATTCCTTCTTTCTTTTCCCTTTTTCTTTTCTCCTCACTGGTGGTGATTGGGCTTGAACTCAGGACCTGAGCATTGTCCCTGAGCTTTTTTGCTCAAAGTTAGCACTCTACCACTTTAAGCCACAGTGCCTCATGGTTTTCTGGTTTACACAATGGTTTTATTGGAGATAAAAGTCTCAAGGACTTTCCTGTCTGGGCTGGCTTTGAACTGTGATCCTAAAATCTCAGCCTTCTAAGTA